ATGCACCTAAACGGATGTTCATATGTGTATTTGCTTCCGAAACTTCCTTCGGGAAAGATGGAACTTCTGCAACGTTGCTGTCCCAAGTGGAACGGGTACGTTTTCCCAGTGTTATCCAGTCCTACTGATTGGGTAGTGCCATAGCAGCAGTAGCTGGTCTTCTTGTGGTAAGCCCTGGCCTATGCCAAAAAGTAGGGGCGCAGGTGGCTTCCACGGGACACTGGAAGGGGCAGTACCTGTGGCCCTTTGTTAGTGATCCCAATTCGTCAGTCATCCGACGTGACATCAAGAGGGACCGACTGAAAGGGAACGTCTCGTTACGTATGGTAACCCTCGTTCCCTAAAGGAGGGAACGGAGACGTCACGTCCCGTCGCCACAGCTCCTGTACCACCGCTGAGCAGCCGGGTCACCGGCTCAGCTCCTCAGCGAAAACCTGAATATGCGCTGCATCTGCTGCCTACTTATACTCACGCTGTGATCAGCGGCAGCTGGATGCAATAATCGCATGCCAATGTGCATTGGCTCGTTTAGTTTACACTCGAAGTAGATTGGTCTCTCCAAGCGAGATCCCAATTCGTCGGTCATCCGACGTGACGTCTCCGTTCCCTCCTTCAGGGAACGAGGGTTACTATACATAACCGAGACGTTATGCGTGTTTTTAAAAAAAAATTTAATATAATTTTTTGGTAACAGCACTTAGGTAATTTACTGCATTTGCACAAAATACTGCATTTGCACAAAATTCTCAGGTAATCTAAAATGTGCATCATTTAGTTACATCAAGGGTCAAATCAAATATAGATACCACATTAAAGTTAAAAGTTACACAATTTTTTATGTGTGTGCTGTACAGGTCTCGTATAAAGAATGATTTTGCTCAGGTGGCTGAAATGATGTTTTTTTATGTAAAAATCTTGATAATGTTATAAGTGGTCCTCAGAGAGCAGTCTTCTTTTTTTTTCTTTGTATGTTGAAAAGTCTCTTGCTGCGTCTCAATGTGCCTACTTATACTACACCCTTAAAGTATGTACTCTTTTGGTAAAGAAAAAGTACACACTTTTGATTGTGTAGTAGAAGAGTATGCAAGCTTTCTCTGTTGCACCTGTTACACGCACCCTGTCACTGTAAACTGGCCTGTCAATCATCTTGTCACAGTTAACATCCTCCACATTTCATTTCATTTAACTTCCTACCATACTGGAGAGAAAATAAATAGCACATTGATCTGCCAGTCGCGGGTCTTTAATGTGGAGAACTCTGTTCATATTTTCTGCATAATGATGCATTTAAAAGTTCACGACCAAATGGATGTTTATAAATGTTCACATTACTGTTGCAGATGAAATATAACACGGATAACAATAAATAAATATTTTTTACCAGGTTAAATGTTGATTATTAGTAACTCAAACCCCTTTTTGTAAACCTCTCTATCTAACCGTCGATCGCGTGCATCTGCCACGTTTGTAGTTTTTTAATGCGTTTTATTCGTGTTTGTAGGTCTGAACCGAATCCTTTGCCAAAGCGCAATGGATTGTGGGCAATTTTAGCAATTAGAGTGTGCACGGATCCACACTTCAAAAATCTGCCTGAAATAGTAGACCATCCGGGGACTTTTGGCATACTCTTTTCAACATACTATGCTTTGGGACACATTTATTCTAATCTCACATACTATCTAGGATGGATAGTATGAACATTGAGACACAGGGACTTTAAGTTTAAAGCTGCAGTCCGTAAATTTTGCCTCTTTGTCGCCATCTCTGTTTGAAAACCTGCAATTGCAGCTGTGTGCGGAATATCTTCCTTGCGTGGGTTGTGAGTCGGCACGGCTCCAGCGCAGATGAATCAGATGTTTTGAAGAGTATGTGTGGCAGTCAGTCACCACACCGGTGTGGATATTTACTGTACTTCGCAATCACAGATTCTAGCCTACGTCTTGGAATATATGACTCAAATAAGAATTTTCTCCGTATATTGTCATCTGAACAAGTATGTAACAAGTCTGTCACGTTTGTTCTGACCAACTGAGGAAAAAAGCATTACAATAAATCGCGCTACCAATGATAATTTAATCTAAAGATCGGTTAGCTCATATCACATCAAACCATGCACATTATTATTATTGCTATACTTTATTCTCAAATTATAAATGTTAACAACATCAGCATTGCCTATAGTGTGTATTAGTGTGTAGATTTCAATGTCTGCACAGTCTAATCTCTAATTGTCATACCATTCGAATTTCATATTAAGAAATTCTTTTAACCCAAAAAGCAAATTATGCTCCCTTTGAACTGGTTTTCTTTAAAATACAAATCTTGTGTAATCCCAGACTATCTGTAATCAGAAGCACATTTAAAACTGGAATATAATTGAATTTCATTCACATGTGTTTCATAAACATATAATACTTTCTGGATTACAATCCGCCATCAAAATGATTAATGTAATTATTCTAGCTGCTGTAATTATTCTGGCTGCTGTGAGAAAAGGCTATAAACAATCGGCCATCTGCAGGATCTTCACGTGATAGTCTAGTAGCCGGGACAACTTCTTTATGTTTACAGACGTGACGTAATGACGCAGCGACATGCTCGAATTTCCTGCGAAAAAATACTCGCATTTTCTGCGAAAACCTACCCGTACCACTCAAATTAGAAAACATTATTATAATCTAACCGCTGTGAATCGGGCTGGCTAAAGTAAGGCAATAGTCTTGAGCACTGGCTGTTTATGCACTAGCTCAAATATTGATTTCGGATCATTTTTAACCAAAAAAGTTACGGACTGCAGCTTTAAATACATCAAAGGAAATAGTTCACCCAAAAACTGTCATTTATTCACTCTCATGTTGTTCCAAACCTGTATAAATTTCTATTTTGTGCTGAAAACAAATGAAGATATTTTAAAGAAAGTTTGTAACTAAGATGTTTTGGGTCACCACTGACTTCCATAGTAGAAAAAAATGCTATGGAAATCAATTGTTTTGTTCCCCAAAACTGGTTACAAACATTTCAATACTTTATCCTTTGTGTTCAGCATAACAAAGAAATGTATACAGGTTTGGAACAACTTGAGGGTGAGTAAATGATGACAGTTCATCCTTTACATTTTATTTTGTTGAGACATTAACCAATTTGTCTGTTAAATATGCTTCCTAATAAAGTAGACTAACAATTTTAGCATGAACTAGATGAGCTCCTGGAGAGCTACAGTCCTGCAGACTTTAGTTCCAACTCTGCTCCAGCACACCTGTCCGTAATTATCAAGCAACCCTGAACACCTTGATTAGCTGGTTCAGGTGTGTTTGATTGGGGTTAGAGCTGAAATCTGCAGGATGGTAGCTCTCCAGGAGCAGGGTTGGACACCCCTGCATTAGAAGGTTGTTAACATGACTTAGCATGTTACTAGTTTAACATGAATTAGCATGTTACTAGTATGATTTAACATGGCTTAGCAAGTTAATAGTATGATTTAACATGAATTAGCATGTTGTTTGCATGATTAAACAGTGTATTTGATGCAACGCATAGGAATTCTAGACAGCAATTTCAGCCACAAACATTTTGTTTCCTGGAAGATTATAATTTAGGAACAACATGAGGGTTAGTTGTCTTTTATGGATGAACTATACCTTTAAAGATCTGTACAACATAAATAATAAATTCATGATGTACTCACTCGTTATATATTTTTGTGTAAATTTTGAACACAAAAAAAAGTTTCGGACAGCAGCTTTAAATTGCCTGACTGCTATAATTTTCATTACAATCTCTTTGAATGTTGTGAAGCATCAGAGTTTTCATAGACATTTAATGGAGGAACATAAATAATTTTTGGGGTGAACTAACCATTTTATTATGTCTCACAGTACTCTTTCAGTTGAAGTATTTTGATACCATTGAAATGGTTTTGTGTATTTGGCTATACTGTTATTTTATTAAAGGATTAGTTCACCCAAAAAAAAAAATTTCTGTCACTAATTACTCACTGGTGCATGTGCGTGCCGAACTGTGGGTGGAGAACAGTATGGTTCAAATTTTTTACCGAGAACCATTACACCTCTAGTAATTTAGTACACTCTTAAGCTGGGCTCACACTACAGGAGTTTTAAAATCCTAACCGATTATAAAATCTGGTTGCAGCACACATAAGGAGAATCTTTGCAGATTATCTTCTCTCAAATCTTAAACATGCACACACTACAAGATTTTAACATCATGGCGCATCACACACTACAAGATATTATTAAGATTATCATGCCAGAGGGAGTGGCTCACGTGATCGCCTCGTGACCAGGGGCATGTCTACGTGGTGGCCAGGGGTGGCACCGGCCAATTTATTTTATGAATTGGCTCTGCTGTCGCTCAGATAGGCCTATTGCGTGTACACGCTCAAACGTTGTCCTCGCACCACTGAACACCAGAAGAGCTTTTTTTTCTAATTCAGGTGAAGAGTAGCCAAGGCTTTTCTTACTAAAATGGAAGCAAACTGGTTATAGTCAGCCTTCTCTAGTTATTTATTTAATTATTTAATACTTATTTTAGTGCTTAAATTGGAAATATGCATTTATTAAATTATTTTATCTAGTGCATTTGTATTTTGTTGTTTTTGTAGGCTGTACAATAAAAGCGTACCAACCAGAAATAATCATTGAGGGTGCTTCTGACATTAGTGAGGGTGCTCTAGTTTTAATGCACATTTTCACATATTTTGTCCCATCTATTGCTATGGTTATCACTATGTCAATCATATGCCATGCATTGATTTTCACTTGTATGTATCAGAAAAATATTATGGAGGCAGCTGACGTTAATGAAATAATTTGGAGCTTTACTTGCAAACTACATTTCCTGTTCATCAATAAGGTAAGAACCAGAGCCATTATAAACCTAAATATACTTGATTAAATGAAATTAATTGAAAAGTGTAGTGTAGTAATAGAATATGTTTGCGGTCGTAATGATGACAGTAGTGCACAAAATAGTATCTGTTCCGTGCTCCGGCGCGGTTAGCGCTCACACTGCATGCGTACTGAGCCCAACCGAACCGTGCCCTGGCCCACCTCTTCCAACCGGGCCAGGGCTGGCACGGAGCGCTCACACTAGTCAAACGGACCGGGCTTTGGGGGTCAAACGCGCTCGGGCGCGGTTCAAAACGCCTAGTGTGAGTACACCCT